CACTGTCGCTGATTGGCTTGGCCTTGGCCAGTGGTGGACACAGGGAAAACTTCTAGCAGCTTCTTACAGAAGCCACCCCTGTAGCCCCCGCCACTACCAAGACCTTGCCACAGAAACCCAATACAACATTACGGTTGCTATCAGCATTTTAAAACCAAGTCTAGACTGTAATTTTTTGAGGATGCAAACTCACTTGGTAGATTTGATTATTTCTTTTAACTCTGAGCCACTCTTGCAGGTAATGCGTGAAGACAATTGTTTCCGGGGACTCTTCCCTAGTTAGATGGCAGAGTGGGAATGGGAGTTCTGATTATTCCCCCAGAGCTAAATGGCCTGTTCATTTTTAGGAAATCAAAGAAGAGGTCAGTGCCTCTGTGTGCATGTTTTAAGATGTAACTGTTATGCACTGAGTTTGTTTTCTCTTTATGCTCTCAGAAGACTTAGTGGTGAAGTCACAATCTTGCTTCAGGCACTTTCAGTGGTATTTGACCTCGGTTAAGTTGTATTTCAGTGTTACGCTGAATAGGAACAAAGTAAGCATGTGCATGAATTCTTTTGCCATGATGGGGCCTAGGAAATAGGACCATCGAGTTCTGGACTTGCCAACTGTTTGTAATCTCAGGATTACTTATTTTGAAAATTCACTGTAATAATGAACTCTTAACACCTGCCACAGCAGAGAATGGAACTTCTGATACCATTGAAGTCCTTGGGAGTGGGCTGCTTAAACACATTCAGGAGTTGGGTTTTTGTCTCTTCTCAGTTATCGCAGCAGAAGTCTTAGCGATACAGAAAAATGCAGGATGGCGACTTTCACGGGAAAAATGCAGAATGAGCTCTTACCACATTCATCACATGGATGCATAGTAGATTTGTTTTTAATCATACTGATTTTAAAAATGCATGAGTAAGGGGAAAGAGCCTTTGACTATCATGTTTTAAAATAGTAATAAAAGATAAAACCAGAAGATGTATGGACAATGGTAGGGCATTAAAGAGAGAAAATACTTGTTTGTAGCTGCTTATAAACAACATTTTCCTTGGCAATATGCTTCCTATCAGGTACTGTATTATTTTCTTGTTAAGACCAAATGCCCCATAGGAGTAGACACAAAGTTGCTTTACACTACTACCAACCACATGTTACTGAAATGGAAATGTATTTTTAGCAGCATCTCAATGCCTATGATGTTTATTTCCATACCTATTTTGTTTCCAAGATAATGTACCTAAATCCACAAAATTCTTAATCTTTGAATTGCCTCAGCAGTAAAAAGTTTGTTGCCCCATTGGCTCTTTATTTGTGTATGGTGTCTGGTTTTGATATGTATTTTTAGAAGGTGACCAACAACTAGACTTGCAAGTTACAGAAATCAAAGGTTTTTTCCTCTCCATTAGGTTATCTGTATTTTCCAGTAAAAGAGCAATCAAAGTAAAACCATGCAAGCAGATGTCTGTAATTGCAGCAGGTATATATGTGAAGGTTATTTTGCTTATGTTGATATTATCACTGATCAAACTTACTTTGTGAAATATATCACATTTTCTCTATGTGGCATAGAACACAGAAAAAGAACTGAGTTTCCTGATAAGTAAATCCTGCATTCCAGGAACAACTGTAAACTGCATCGAACCTCAGGCTGTAAGTGGGTACTCAGAGTTGCTTTATGTAGAGATTAAAGATAGGATCTACTCCTTTTCATAGAACTTACACTAAGGTATGAGCACAAAAAGCAAGCTAGAGAAGTTTCATGCCTGATTGCATGCCTTAAAACTACTCTGTCTTGTGTTTCTTAGCTAAAAATTAAAATAGCCTACAAATAAACCAAATCCATGTGCTGACAGTTGTTTTATGTTTTGAACGCAGTTTGGGCCAAGATCACTTCATATTCCGTAGTTATCCCATTTTCTGCTTTCAGTCCCTGTTAACACAGTTGCTTACATTCTGTCATAGTATGTTTTTCTCTTGGAAAATAGGAAGGTGGGGTGACAGTGAGCTGTTGTCTGAAGAAATTGCAGAAAGTCACTTGAACAGCTGCTTGTACCTTCTTCACCTCCTTGGCTTTCTTTGTTCCGGTTGCATTTCTTCCATCGCACTTGCTTCAAGTTACTAACCCACTGATGTGGAGAAGGAGGGTTTGAAAAAACGTAGGGAGGGAGAGTAAAAGGTTTGAGTAACAGTTGGGAATGTGCTTATATTTTTAATGAAGATTCAGGTTGATTATAAGTGGGCTTTTGCATCTGGGTTAAAAACTAATTAGGTCTATGATACAGAGAGAGTTCCCAAATAGTTCCGTGATTCCATGACTGTGGTTCAACACTATTCCCCCTTTTATAAATTGTTTGCTTATAACTTTTTTCATCCTAAAACAAAGCAGCAAGTCTTAGAGTCACCCAGTTTTGCCAAATGCCTGACATGCCAGAGCGACTGTTTACGTGACAGTGTCCAGTTCCCTGTCCCAGAGGCAGTCCCTTTTTTTTTTCAGAACCCACACAGCTTGTGTCCAAAGGCTTCAAGGGCTCTTTTGGCAGAGCCACAGTTAAAAGCAATCTGTGGGGCATCCTTTATCCAGAAGATCTGTGTAATTTTACTGTGTTGCCATACAAACACTCAGCAGCCACTGCATGGCTTCTGATCACCCCAATTTAGGAGCTTTGCTATAACTAAGTGCAAGACGCTTTTCAGCAGTGCTGTTATAGGCTGATCAGTGTGGCAAATCCATTTCATTTGAGAGTTAAAAAGCGCCCAGTACTAAGGGGTTTGGGATGATGGGGAAAGAAATAGGGAAAGGCAATTTTAGAGAATGTGGTTGTTCTCTGGAGAAATGAAACGACAGCCAAATTTAACAGCACCCTCTCCTGGTTCTTGGCAGAATAACATGGAGGGATATTGATCTTAAGAGTAAGGCTGCAAGTAGGGGAAGGTCAGGGCTGCTTGTTTCCTCAAATGCAATGGACTTGGTGAACTTTCTGTAAGCAGTAAATACAGGTAAGTTAAAACACTATGATAAAATATGAAACTGGCTCTGTTTTTCATTAAAGGTGGTTGGTGTTGCTTTGTTGAAAACTTAAATCAAAACTTTGGAGCTTCATT